ACTTAAACTATGTCTAAGTTAAACACTCTTAGAAGAATTAATGAAATATTTGACCAAAAAAATAAAAAAGAAGAATTAATGAAATATTAGTCATGCGGCTTCTTGTTTGGTCGATAAAAAAATTAACTATTCCACGTTTTGATGAATATCATAATTTTGTTAGTACATTTTTCCTTAGCAAATTAAGTTAGTACATAAGTTAAATTAAAGGGCACTCAATCATTTAATTGATAGAAATATAAAAATATCATAATTTTGAATATCAAATATAATCTAAGAAAAACTATTATATGATAATCAAATAAACCATATTTCAATGACTGATTGGTTTGGTTCCGTTTTGATATTAAAAATGATTATGCAATTCGATGGTTTAAATACATTGTAGACGTCAACCTCTCTTCTTCTCCGATACTCTTATCCATTGTTTATCAATGGTTACATCATTCATAACCTTATGCACACCAAGTGCACAACATTCAAACGACACTAAGTCTCATGTGTATTGCATATTGGTTATAAAGTTCAGATCTTTCTTTTAGTAACAACATTAAACAATTTATGAAGTTCAGATCTTTCTTATAGTAACAACGATTTTAGCCATAAACAACTTATAAAGTTCAGATCTTTCTTTTAGTAATAACGATTGTTTAGCTTTATCAAAACTTAAGAAAAGAAAAACTATTAGGTCTACCGGTCGGAACTAAACATCCAATAAATAGTGGTTTATAAAGTAATACTACAACACACCATCCATAAACGACAGAAAAATAAACACGAGAGACATTTTTTTGTAGATAGTAATTAGTCTCCATTAAAATATATTTAACCACTAGAAGAACGATTTTAGCCATACATCCAACCGGTTTAAGTTTCCTTGGTAGTGGTGTTACCATAGTAAAGTTCGATTTTTTTGAGCCCGAGAGTCCATGAATGCAACATGCGCGAAGTTTTCTCTGGCAGTCCACACTGAAGCTTTCTCAGAAATTACCAGTTGATCGGCATCGGCGTTGCCATCCACAACAACAACAGATCTGTTGTTGATCTCGCCTGCAACGGCCATCGCTTCATGGTCGGGATTGCAGCAGGGACGAAGATTCCTCTGGCAATCCCATAGAAGACACTGAAGTTGGTGTCGCTCTGGAGCGAGAGAAGAGAAACCTTGTTCTTCCATTATCGATCTCTCGAGTGTCTGAGTCGAGAGCTATATGGTATGAGAGATAGATCCAATGAGAGAAGAAGAGACGAAAATATGAGGAGGTCGAATTGAAATATGAGAGTTGTTGCCAACCAATGATAATTTCGAAGAAGAGATCATGGGTTCGAGCATTTGTTTTTATAAAAAAATATTAATTTTTTATTTCATTTAGAACACTAGTTTTTTTATTATTCACGCCTTACATAAGATTTTATCTTTAAAACTGCCCAACATTTACTAACATATTTATATTAGCTTTAAACGATAAATTTATATACATGAATTTATTTTAACAAATGTGGCTAACCTATTTATGGAGGTTGGGAAATGTGGCTAATTATTGGTCTAATAGAACTTGTGATCTAGATTTGATTGTATTATCTGGCACGTAACAACCTTGGAAATGTACCCCAATTTTTCAATTTAACGCAAATGAAACCCCAAAAAGAATGGTTGTTAAATCTGTAAAGCAAAAAAATATATGGATTTTGCATTGGCAGGAGCCGAACTCATGACCTCGCAAACAAAACTAGTCTTAAACCGCTGAGCCATTGTAATTTTTGTAAATTAATTGATAACAGTTTCTATTTAAACTTAACCAGTAAACGATTTTTAAAACAAAAACCCTAACATTCTAAAAAGCCCCCAAATCGATTGGATTTGTCTATTCATCGACTTCTCTCTTTCTCTTCTCCGATTTCTCTATTTTCCCACCAGTTGAATCACTCCGAGCTCACTCACTTCATCTTTCAAGCACTTTTAAGGAAGAGAGATGCATGTTGACTAGGGGTGGACATTTCGGTTTATTTTCGAGTTTAGTTCGGGTTGGTTTCTTTGGTTTTAGTAAATCATTACCCGAACTCAAACCGAAGCAA